GTACCCTTGGCCTGTTTGACAGAGCCCAGCAGCCCCCGCTTTAAGAGTGACTGGGTGGGGACCATGTTTGTGCTCTCTGTCCTTCACAGGTTTGTGATTGGGCGAGAAAAGCCAGGACAAGTGAGTGAGGTGGCGCAGCTGATCAGTCAGACCCTGGAGCAGGAGAGGCGTCAGCGGGAGCTCTTGGAGCAGCATTACGGCCAATATGACGCGGATGATGATGAGGTGAGCCCGCTTCCAGATGGGGTGGGGGTGGGGTGAGGGTGTGGCTTGTGGGGGTCCCTGAAGACCCTCGCCACCAGCTGCAGGAGGTGCTCTTGAGTCAGAGGGTCCACATGGAAATACCCCTCCCCCACCTCCGTTTCCTCATCTGTAAAAGGAAGGAGGTTGGCCTCTGAGATCTCTTCCAACCTTGTGTCTGTAGCCTGTGACCATGGTCACAAGGTGAGGCCTTTCCATCATGTCCGGAAGAAGTGGATGACCGTGGTGTGTGAAAGAGATAGTAGGGAAGCAAGATGAGAGGGGAGGGGGAGGGGGACCACCGTGGCAGGCAGAGCACAGGGATCAGGGGTCAGGGGTGCCTTGGCAAAGAGGAGGGCAGGGTGGGAGTGGGGGCGAGGGCAGGTATCTGAGCGGGGCTTGCTGGGCCTGGCCTGTCACCAGTGTCTGCCTTGAAGGCATTTCAGACCAATGAAGCCCAAAGCTGAAGAAGTTTGTTATTTTTGTTTTTTCAATTAATAAGCATTTTTTAAAAATCCATCTTTCCCACTACCTCCATTTAGCAAAAACCAACCAATCCACATCCCTCCTCATTATATGGACGCGTAGTCTGACAGACCCCCTCCTCACCTTGGCCTGCTCTGTCTCCGTCTCTGCATTGTAAGTGTGTCCCCTCCCAGTGGGAGGTGGTGGCCGTTTCCTCCTTGGTCCTCTGGACTTGGCCACCCTCAGAGGCTTTCCGAGCTGTTTGTCTCCATCGCTGTTGTCACTGTGTGCATTGGTCTGCTGCCTCTGCCCACTTCTCTCTGGGCCTTCCTGGAGTCTTCTGACTTTGCTCGGGGTTCAGCCGTTCCCCGATGGGTGGGTATGCCCATTAGTCTCTCAGCTAGACTGCCACAAGCAGAGCTGCTAGGAATATTTCTGTCTACATAGATCCTTTCCTTTTCTCTTGGATTCCTTTGGGGGTAAGAGCCTAGGAGTGGGATCAGTGGTTCAAAGGGCATGCATGTTTTAGCTGCTTCTGGAGCCTAGTTCCTGATTTCTTTCCAGAGCAGGAATTGTGCCACGTTGCTTCTCCGTCTGCAGCGCAGATCTCCTGCAGCATCCATGAAGTCTCCCTCCTCAGATTTCCCTGGTATCTCCATCTCTCCCCCTATTTATCCAGTGGTCACAGGGATAAAAAGCATCCTGGGAACAGATGTGCTGCTCTCCACGCTGAGGTGGGGAGGAGGTGTAGATGGAGGGGCAGCCAAGCAGGACAGCACATGGGCAGTGTACTTGGCCCGGACAAGTTGGCAGAGGAGAAGCTGTTCAGAGCCCTCTGTGGTCCAGGCTTCTTCCTGCCCTGGAGTCCGTGTCACCTGCATCCACATTGGCCCTGGGGACTCTGAGAGCTCATGAGTCCTGGAGCAGCCGAGTGTCTGGGGAGTCAGTCGGTAGTCAGGGATTCATTGGCTGGTGACTAGGCCCATGGCCAGTGGTGAGAGAGTCAGGGGCTGGTCTCCAGACAGGGCCCCCACACAGATGGGGCAGAGAGCCATGGACAAGGCGAGGGAAACTGGGGGGTGGGCAGCCTCGATTGCAGGGTGCTGTGACACTCATGGCCACTGCTCTCCCCATTGGCCCTACTGTCACTCCAGTATGGACCCCATCCTTATGTGCTTGAGTCACAGAATCAGGCCCTTGATTCAGTTAGTGTGTTTCTAAAAACAAAATGAAGGCAATACAAGCTCACGGTTTCATTGATGTGATCCTTTTTGGAAATGTTTGTGTTGGCCATAAGGCTGTCAGAGTTGTCTTGGATTGTTGTACTGGTGAGAAGAGCCAACAAGTCTTTCATAATGGATCATTGCACAATTGTACAGTGTTCTCCTGGTTCTCACTTCACTTTGCATCATTGTGCAAGTCCAGGTGTTTCTGAGAGCATCTAGCTCATCATTTCTTATAGCATAATGGTATTCCATCATAATCATATACCTCAAATTGTTCAGCCATTCCTTCATTCGTAGGTGTCCCCTCAATATCCAGTTATTTGCTCCCAGAAAAAAGCTGCTATAAACAATTGGGCATAGTTCCAAATTGCTCTACATAATGGTCGAATCAGTTCACAACTCAGCCACCAGTGCTTTAGTGTCTAATTTTCCTACATCTCTTCCAACAATTGTCATTTTCCTTTTCTGTTCCCTTAGCCAATCTAATAGGTGTGAGGTAGTTCCTCAGAATTGTTTTAATTTGCCTTTCTCCAATCACTAGTGATTTAGAGTATTTTTTTTCATGTGGCTATAGATAGCTTTGATTACTTCATCTCAAAACTGACTTAATATTTTTTGATCATTTGTCAATTGGAGAATGGCTCTTATTTTTTTTATAAATTTGATTCATTTCTTTATATATTTGAGAAATGACGGCTTCTTCAGAGAAACTTGCTTCAAAATTTTTTTCATAGTTAGGATTGCTAACTGTTTTTCTCTCCATCCTATTTCCCCCCTGTTTATTCTCTCTCTTTCCTTTCACCCGGTCCCTCTTCAAAAGTGTTATGCTTCTGACTGTTGCCTTCCCCAATCTACCCTCCCTTCTATGAATATTCCCCTCCTCTTTTCTTATCTCCTCCTCCTCCTTTCTTATAGGGCAAGATAGATTTCTGTACCCAACTGAGTATGTATGTTGTTCCCTCTTTGAGCCAATTCTGATGAGAGTAAGGTTCAAGTGTTCCCTGCCACCTCCCTTCTCTTCCCTCCACTCTTTATTGCCTCTTTTATGTAAGATAATTTACCCCATCCTACCTCCCTCTTTCCCTTTCTCCCAGCGCATTCCTCTTTTTAATCCCTTAATTTTACTTTTTTAGATATGATCCCATTATATTCAATTCACACCTATGCCCTCTGTCTATATACACTCCTTCTAACTGCCCTAATAATGAGAAAGTTCGTATGAGTTATAGGTATCATCTTCCCATTAGGAATGTAAACGGTCTAACCTTATTAAATCCCTTACGATTTCCCTTTCCTGTTTACGTTTTTATGCTTCTCTTGGGTCTTGTATTTGGAAGTCAGATTTTCTGTTCAGCTCTCCTCTTACCATCAGGAATGCTTAGAATTAAAGGCAAATTCCTGATCCTCCCCCCTCCCCCCACCACATCACTTTACATGAATAACAGTAACTGTGAATTGAGATAGTGGTTGTGTAAATGGGCACCATTTGCCCTAGAAATCTAAAAGTCAATTCCACCTTTTCCTCAGTCATAGATGGCAAACTGGTTTGCCTTTGCCTTTGATTTAAATGCCTCATCCCAACACTGCCACCACCACCACCAAAAAAAAAAAAGATTCTTCTTAATTTGCTTCACTCTTGGGCCACTCAGTATTTTTATTTTGAGGAAACAAACTTTATTGATATCTTTTTGTTTGTACATAACTTAAATTTCCTGCTACATCCTTTCTCCTCTCTCTTCCCAGAGCACCATATAACAAAGATTTTAATCAATAATTTTCAGAGGCCCTTCAGGCTTTCTTCATAAGCACACAAGGTATTTTTGTGATGCTGGCCCACTCACTGCTGTCAGTATGAAATTAAAGAGTATAGGAAATGAAATCTTTCAGCTGGAAATCCTAATTCTGAAGTGCCTTCCAGAGGGAGGAGTGTACATCAGAATTAAAAATGAAATCATGGTGGGGCAGCTAGGTGGCACAACAGATAAACCACTGGCCCTGAAGTCAGGAGGACCTGAGTTCAAATCTGGCCTCAGACCAAACACTTGACACTTACTAGCTGTGTGACCCTGGGCAAGTCACTTAACCCCAGCTGCCTAAAAAAAAAAAAAAGAAAGCATAACCTTTTTAAAGTGGAAAAGACCTAAACTGAAATATGGGAGAACAGAACTGAGAAGAAAATTTCCAGTTTCAGGTAACATAACCTATTCAAGATTTAAAAGGATAAAATGATCTCAAAAACCTCTTTTAAGTTAAAAATAACATTCAAAGAAGGAAAAAGTTAAATGATTAAATTTGTGCTAAATGGTTACTTGCACTTTGTGATTAGTCATGTTTCCACTTGTCATTCTCCTTTGTTCCCCTTAATTTTTTTTTTGGCTAGGCAGTGAGGTTAAGTGACTTGCCCAGGGGTCACACAGCTACTACATGTCAAGTGTCTGAGGTTGTATTTGAACTCAGGTTCTCCTGACTCCAGGGCTGGTGCTCTATCCAGTGTGCCACCTAGCCGCTCCTGTTCTCCTTAATTTTAAAAAATTTTTATTCTGAGTTCCTAATTCTCTCCCTCCTCCATCCTTTCCCCCACTCATTGAGAAGGCAAGAAATACCTATTCTACATATAAAACCATGCAAAACATATTTCTGCATTAACCATGTTGTAAAAAAGAGAGCCCCTAAATTGTTATAAAGATGACCCCAGACTCAGTTCTGAAGACTGGTGTCTCAAAGACTTTTTATTAAAGATTGAAGTGTCCTTTTGATTCTCATGAGAAGCAGGCACACCTTCTTGGAAGGGAGAATTGCAAGCATAAAAGAAGCCAGAACAAGTTTATAGTTAGTAATTGCCTAACTCCTCCCTTCTGGATCACGATTGGTCCTAATCCTTCTGGGTTACAATCTTCCTTATATGCCCCACCCCGAACATATTATGTGCCTAGAATTGTGTTATCACTCCCCCATTGGATGGAGAAGTTAGCCTGTCTGTGCTGATTTCTTATCTACTTACATGGAAACTTAACTCTTTCATGTCTCACAATTCCTACTTTTTTTTTTAAGTAAAGATTTGGTTTCCACACCTTCCCAATTTCCTTATCCTCTAATCTCCTTAACATGATTTCACATTCTCCATCACTGGGGAAAGTCTCATTGATACATAAGGTATCATCATCCTTATATTTCCAGAGCCTGCCCTCTGAACTCCCACTGTGGGTCCTACTGGGATAATCTTTAGTGAGGGATGTCTCTATCAATTGTTGTACCAGTCCCCTAGTGCATGGAACTATACAACATCCTATAGCAGTTAATACTCCTGAAGCCATTCCTTTCCATTTGCAATTCTGACTGTCCCTTTAATCAGTTATCTACACCAGAGTTCTCTGCCAACTCCTCAGCTAAAGTGGTTAAACCTTGCAATGCCTTAGTAATGGTTCTATCTGGGGCTATGCTGCTGGGCAACATGTCATCAAGGGATTTGGGGGACTTAAAACAATATGGGAGAAGGAAGGGAGGAATTGACCGACGCATTGACAAAGTAAAAAGAGGGAGTCCCCTTATTAAGTACAGATACAGAGACCCAAAAGTAATGATAAATTGTTCATTTAAAGCTTCAGAAATCTCTTCTCATACAGCTGTCCAACACTCTGGACATCATCTGGCGAAGTCCTCTGGTCCAAGTGCTGTTCAAACAGTGTCTCTTCTTGTAGAGATCCTCCTTCTTGTGTGCACCCTCCTACAAGATTGGTCTCAACACAGTTTTTAAATTACCTTGTCAATAACCAGGGCAAATAATGAAAGTTACCTCAACCCCCACGTCTCCACTATTACAAGGTCAAAACTGGAACCTTGGCCAATTGTCATATTTTAAGAAACTGAAATTAGAGAAGTTAGAACCTAGCCTTATACTCTGCATTACTTCTAGTTTTATACCTTGCATTAATTCGGTATTCATTCCTGTTCATATTCCTCCATCAGGAGGATAAGATTCCACTAAGGAATTAATAAGACTCCAATACATAGTAGTTAATTTAAAACCAGTACACATCAAATACTAAAACAATCCCAACTTCTAGTCATGTACAAATTAATAATCCTTAATTAAAATGGATGATTCTTTCAAGGCATTTACAATAAGTCACAAGCTATTCTTCTTTTAACGTTAATTAACTGTATCAAACTGAGACAGCTTACAACTTTAACGTTAACTAAGTATTAACTAAGTAACAGAGTAATATCCTAGTTCCACAATCTCCTAGCCTAATTATCCTCATACCACTGTGAGAAATCAAAGGATCCTGACTTGTACAGGAATATACTAGTAACATATCAAGACTGAATACTTAATTCTGAAGTTCCAGGCCAAATAACTCAATCTTATACTTGCATCTTACTATAATAACCTCAGGTGTTCCTGCATCAATTTATTTTCTTAATAGATTCGATATTTATGCTTACAAAACTTATGATTAATGGAATTCGCCATGAAAGAACAGGGAACAAGTAAGGGAACGGTGCTTCCTTAGATTCATGTCAGTTCCAGGCAGAAGTTATGTATATAATGACCAACTGCATTGAGCCAGGCTTAAAGTCTGCCAGGTGTCATAGTGGGGAAATTGAGTCAGGAGAATCCTACCTCAGCTATGCAGAAAAGTCATTCTCCTGACCTTCCCATGAGAACACCCACTTGCAGCTCATGGTTGCAGCTCACAAACCTCTTTGCAGATTGCTGACATCTTGGGTCAGTAGCTTAATCAGTTCTTTGTTAACCATAACTGAAGTTAGACTCAGAACAACAGTTCATTAACAGTCCCTAAGATCTTGGATAGCAAATTCTCCTTATCAGGGTTTCAGATGTGATTATAGTTTCACTTTAATTAGGGAACATCTCCAAAGTGAGCTCTAAGTAGTTTGCATAACTTCCTCCACATGTTCTGGTTCCTAATAACATCCTGAGTAAAATCAAACTTCTATTAAGATCATAAGTTGCCACTCTAAATAGATTTGCGTTTCTGTTTTTCAAACTTATTTATCTTTCTCTAACCATTCTTAATCTGAAAGAATGAGACACTTTCAGAGCTTGAATCCTATACATATAAGTTCAGACAGTAATTTTAACTCTTGCTAGGCCATGGAATGAATTCAGATCAAAATAGTGAAATCTTCCCTACTTACAGCTTACATGCTTTAGTATTAATCACTAGCCTTAGATCTCTGATACTGCTTCCACTGAGACCATTTCTCTAAGAGCACCCAGTTAAGTCTAATCCAAGGACACAACAAACCCAGGAATGAAACTCTAAGTTCATAGTAGGTTTGGACATAATTTTCTTACAAATAGAAAGTTAGTGGTTCCTCTAAAAGAATATCAAAGATTTCATCAAAATGTTTTCTTCATAAAAGTATCTCTTTTTAACTTAAATTCAGAAATATGTAAGCAGTATATTAAAAACTTGAAACAGAACCAACTAAAAATCTTTCTTTCTTCCTGGACATCTTCACCAGGTCCAATGGTCACCTGGGGCCACTCCTACCACAATAGACTGGCTTTTTTTTTTATTATCTGTGCTAGCCCTTCATTGTCTTTTTACTGGTCTGATAGCCTTGGACCACATCCAGATTAAACCTCCATGACCCTCCCAATCCAGGAATTTGGTGGATAACAGCCTAGATTTTCCGAGTCCTGCCAATCCCTGCTTTAAGAGCCTGGCCCATACTGCCCATTCCCCAACAAACCCAGTCTTTAGCCTAAAGAAGACCTGGGTTAAACTTTTTTTTTTAAATTTCTAATTGAGGCCCTGATATATGAGAGAATATTTCGTTAATTCCAAATTAATGCATATCAATAAGTTTTTCACAATAAAATATATTTGTACCACAGGGCATACATTATAAAATTATTTCCACAATTGTAATAAAATTTGAAACAGCCCATTATCGCTTTAGATGAATGTACTCCAAAATCACTTTGCACAAAGAATCATTCATCTCATCATTAATATGTTGGAACTATAACTTTAAACCGCCACATATTTTTATAATAGTCAAGACTTCAAATGAAAATCTGCTACCATATTAAATATCAATATCATTATTACTTATAATCAAATATACCTCACTAGGTATTTAACAGTTTCAGATTATCTCATTTTTATCACTAAAAGACCCATTCCAGGTTAAGAGTTACTTTTACACCATTTCTACCTCACAATGGTCCCTCAAATTTTATAATCTAAGAGTTTTAGAAATAAAATACAATTTAGAAATACAGTAATAACTTAAACAATGAACTTCAGATAATATCAGTTGCATTTCTGGATTATCATATATAGAATGATCGCTCTTATTACTCTTAGTACTTTTAACAGTTACATTAACTAATAATAAATGCCATTGACTTTTTTTCCTATAACAACCATTATTATTTTTTTCTTTATAGAACAGTAAGCTCAAATCCAATCAGATCCAAATTTATAATCGCTAATGATAAACATTTAAAAACATTTTTGTTTTAAATCCAATACTCTTGGCCCTTTAAAAGGAAATATTCTCCACAAATTTATATATTCCCTTAAAAAAACACGTGGTGACAATTCCTGCTCTAAATAATTCTCTTTCCTTTTCTTTCCTACTTCCTTAGGGGAACAAAGAAAAAGTCCCCTCTTCATCTTAGAGGCTTATCAGATAGAGCCACCCCTCCTGAAAATCTCAGGCTTCAGCAATTTGAACAGGGCATAGTCAGGTTTTCCCACCCAGCTTAAATAAAGTCCTCCTACAGGTTTATTCTGAGAGATGGATGGCCTAAATTTTTAACCTTAACTTTATTTTAACTTTATTATAACTTTATTGGTTTTCAAATCAAGCTACAAAATTTTCATCTTCCAATCCTTCTATTTAAAACAAACCAAACTTCCTCACACCTTCTCAAATACTTAAACCATCTAAAAGCTGGCACAGACACCCAGAACCACAATCCAAGGGTGGGGAACTTTCACTCTCCCTCTTCTCTCTCTTTCCCTCTCTCTCCCTCTCTCTCCCTCTCTCCTCCTCTCTCCCTCTCTCCCTCCCTCCCTCCCTCCCTCTCTCCCTCTCCCTCTCTCTTTTCCCAAACAGCATTTACAACTTAACTATGCATTCTAAACAAATCACTGAAATCTTATCACATTAAAAGACAGCAAAACCCTTATTTTTTTTTTCCAACTGTAAACACATTGCCAGATATATTGGTGGGAGGGATACCAAGGCAGCAATTAAGATTCTTAGTCTTGGGATCTCATTAAATGTGAGTTCAAATTCTTCTCAGCCTTTTTTTTTTTCCTCTCAGCCCTAGCCATCTTGTGTGTCATGCCCCAAATCCTTATCAGTAAAGGCTGCTTGCTGTACCTTCCACTAACTTCTGAGAGATTCTCTCCCAGCCTTTTTGATTCTAATCTCAATGTCCCACTGAAAGCCTGAGACTGGAGCTCTTTCTCACTGTTCCTTCCCCAATCTCAGACCTCAAAAGTTACCCAAAAATTTTTCTGGCAGACACAAAAACAGACAGACAGACAATGTGCACACGGTCTAATTCAAACCTTGACTGGTCAAAAGAAACTCATTTTCTCCCAGGGTCTCCTTTGAATGGGTTCCGAGGCTTTTCCTCCCCTTTTCCTTCAGTAGGAAAAGTTTTTCCTGGGTAGTCCCATTACCTCAATTTGCTAGCTAGCATTCTCCCCAGCGGGCTACTTTGGGGTATCTCCAGAATCAAATCCCTTCCCTGTCTCCTTTTCCTTCGAATTCTTCCCTCCCATCCTTAAGTCAGGTCTGTTAACTAACAGTTAACCCAGACAAAATGATCCCAGAGATAAGGGATTCCCCGATCAAGAAAGGCAGAATTTTGCCGCTCATTTCTTCCTACCTTTGTTTGATATATATCGGACTTGAGTGATCCTTGGCGTTTTTTGTTTTGTTTTGGTTTTTTTTGCTGGAGTTCAACCTGTCTCTGCAGCAACTGCTGCCGTCTTCTGGGTTTCACGAGCCTGGAGGAAAGCAAAATTTAAGTACCCAGACCATTAAAATCAATGGGAGCACTCTTCCCAACCCACTCAGATCTCACCTTTCTTGGTGGTCACTTGGATCCTGGAGAGCCCAGAATTGTTATAAGGATGACCCCTGACTCAGTTCTGAAGACTGGTGTCTCAAAGACCTTTTATTAAAAAGGTTGAAGTGTGTCCTTTCCATTCTCACGAAAAGTAGGCACACCTCCTTGGAAGGGGAGAATTGCAAGCATAAAAGAAGCCAGAACAAGCTTCATAGTTAGTAATTGCCTAACTCCTCCCTTCTGGATCAGGATTGGTCCTAATCCTTCTGGGTTACAGTCTTCCTTATATGCCCCACCCCTAACATACATTATGTGTCTGGACCTGTGTTATCACTCCTCTCTCCATTGAGAAGTTAGCCTGTCTATGCTGATTTCTTATCTACTTATGTGGAAACTTAACTCTTCCATTTCTCACATCAACTTTATTGGCACATAACTGAGCAAAATAGCTCTTAATTATTTTAATTTCCTCTTCATTGGTGGTGAATTCTTCCCTTTTATTTTTGATACTGGCAATTTGGTTTTCTTCTTTCCTTTTTTAAAATCAGATTAACTAATAGTTTATCTGTCTTATAATTGGGTTTTTCCCCCCATAAAATTAGCTTCTAGCTTTATTAGTTTATTATTTATTTTATTATATTACCGTGTTATTTATTTTATTATTAATTATTGATTTTTTTATTATTAGTTTATTATTTATTTATTAGTTCAGTGGTTCAATTAGTTCAATTTTATTAATCTCTCCTTTGATTTTCAGGATTTCCAATTTGGTATTTAATTGGGGGTTTTTAATTTGTTCTTTTACTAGTTTTTTTAGTTGCATGCCCAATTCATTGATCTGCTCTTTCTCTATTGATGTAAGAATTTAGAGAAATTTTCCCCTTAGAACTGCTTTGGCTGCATCCCATAAATTTTGGTATGTTTTCTCATTGTTGTCATTCCCTTTAATGAAATTCTTGATTTTTTTTTTGATTTGTTCTTTGATCCACTCATTCTTTACGATTAGATTGTTTTTTAGTTTCCAATTAATTTTTAGTCTCTGTTTTCACGACCCTTTATTAAATATAATTTTTATTGCATCATGATCAGAAAAGGGAACATTTAATATTTCTGCTTTTCTGCATGTGTGTCACTATAAATGTGTGCTTGTGTTTGTAGCATTGCATGTATGAATATATTTGTGTACATGTGTGTGAGTACAAGTATGTATGTATAGTATATGTATATATAGGTGTGCTTATATATGTATGTATATGCTTACATGTATATGTGTATACTTGCATGTACATGGATGTCTTTGTGTGCACATGTGTTTGAGGAAATGTGTATGAGTACAGATGTGTATATATGTGTGCTTGCATGTCTGTATGAGTGTGCATTTGTGTGTGCATGTGTGAGTGAATGTGTATGTGTGTGTATATATGTATGTCACGTGTGTATAATGTTTGTATTCATACTGTTGTGTGTGTAGCAGGGTGAGTATGTGCACATGTACTATGTGTATGTGTGAGTGAGTGTGCATAGAAGTGTGCTTGTGAGTACTCGTGTGTATGTGTGTGTGTGTGTGTGTGTATGTGAGAGAGAGAGAGAGACACACACACACACGATTCAGCTGCAGCCAGGGCTGATGTGGCCTCTCTGCATACGGGTCTGTGCAGGGTCTACTCTGGCAGCCAGCACATTGAGGGGGGGTGGGCAGGCGGGCAGGCAGCCACAGCTCTGCTGAGAAGCCCCCTTTCCAAAGGTCCTCCCTGGGCCTCCCTTTGTTCATGTCTGAGTGAATGGGGTTGGCTCCCCAGGAAGATTTCCCAGAATGCCGACTTGCTCCCATGTCAGGGGGAGCCTCGGTGATTCTTCTGTCCCCACCCAGGATTCCTCTAGGGGACATCCTTTGGGTCCTTCCCTCTCCATGGTGCTGTTTGCGCGTGCGACTCACCTCCTGTTGTGGCAGTCCCTGGAGAGCGACCCCAGCCACAAGAGGCCTGCTGGACCAAAGCGCTGCCTCCTTTGCCATTTGGTGACCCAGCTGCTCACACATCACCGACTGGCCAGGGAGTTCTCACCTTGTCTTCCCTTCAGACAGGGGAGTATGCCACCGATGAGGAGGATGAGGAAGGGGGGCCCTCCCTCCCCAGCAGGGACCTGGCCATCGAAGTGTTTGAGCTGCCAGAGAATGAGGACGTGTTCTCCCCATCAGAGCTGGATACTGGAAAGCTCAGTCACAAATTCAAAGAAGTAAGTTGTTCCAGGCCTGGCCTCCATTCTGCAGGCTATACAGTTAGCTGTCCAGTAAGGTGGCCTTGCCACGCCCTGCCTCGCTTAAGGCTCAGGGCCAGGCCCACTGAAGGCCCTCCCTTTGCCTGGCTGGTTTGGCCAGCCACTGGGCTGTTTTCACCTTCCCTGGGCCTTGGCAGAGGGGGACGATTTGCCAGGGGTGGGAGCTCCTGATCCTTGCGAGGCTGGGGTGGCATTTCTCTAGAGAGCCCTTCTAGCAGCGGTGGCAGAACAGAGGCGGGCAGAATCCGGAGGGTGGGCAGGCACCAGCACAAAGGTCAGAGTGAGCTGGCTCTGTTCAGGGGACATTCTGCCCTCACTGTCCCTGGGGGGAGAACAGGTGTTAAAGCATGTCACTCCCTGCCTCCTAAAGCCCTGAGGTGGGCTGATGACCTTGGACTTCTCGCTGGTCTGAAAGAAGCACTGATTGGGAGATTGGGATACAGGGTGGTTCCATGGAAGGTTGTGAGTCTGAGCCCTGGGTTCAAATCCTAGGAGACTGACACACCTCCCTGGACATCAGAGGGCTGTGTTGGTATCTCCATGCTTAGCACTGGGCTGCTGGGCCCGGGGAAGGTTGACTGACTGAGTGGTTGTTTGCTGTGGGGGCACACCAGCAGAGCCTCCCTGGCTCCCCGGGAGCCTTACCTCAAAAACCCCGCAGGCGGCAGAGTGGTGGTGGTGGTGTGGGGGGCTTTCCTGACCCGTGTTAGCCTCTTTACCTTAGATCAGAAAGCTGAGAAAAGTGAAAGCTGAGCCTGTGGGTACCTCAGGACTCCCCAGGGCAGGGGGCACAACCACGGGGTCTTCTGGTCAATTCCCGTCCTCCTCTTCCACCTGGGGCTTATTCACCCTAGTCCCCTTCAACTGTGCCCTAGGCTGGCAGCGCCTTTCCCCTTGGTCAGCCTGTTCTGTCTGGGGACGGCCTGAGACCAACTAGGCCAGCCGTGTTCTCTCCCAGCCCTCCCTCAGTAAGGCCTTGTGAGGCTTGGGAAGGCATGGGGCTGCCTGCTATCCACCCAGGAGAGTCCACTCTGTCTTTCTTTGGTTTTCAGCTGCAGATCAAGCATGCGGTCACGGAAGCTGAGATCCAGAAGCTAAAGAACAAGGTAAGGAGGGCGAGGTGACGGGGTACCTCACTGGCAGTAGCTAAGGAGGCCCTGCTGGTGATGTTGAGGCGGGTACATCACTGGCGGTGTCACAGTGGGGCACCTAATTGGTGGTGCTGTGGTGGTATCTAAGGGCACCACACTGTGGTGTCATAATGGGGCACCTAATTGATGGGGGTTTTGGGGTAGGGCCCTTACACTGACACCGTCAGTGGGGTGCCCTTACATACCACTGCTGCTGTCACCGTGGCATCAAAGGGTACTTCGTTGGTGGCGTCATGGTGGTCGTGTCCTGACGGGGCTCCTTACTGGTGGTGTCATGGTGGGGCACATCGGTGGGGGTGTTGGAGTAAGGCTCCTTGCTGGTGCTGTCATGATGAGGCACCCCACTGGCGGTGTCAGTAGTATGGAAGGGCACCCTGCTGGTGGTATCTCGGTGGTATAGAAGGGCACCCTGCTGGCGGTGTCTCAGTGGTATGGAACGGCACCCCGCTGGTAGTATCTCAGTGGTATGGAAGGCCACCCCGCTGTGGTATCTCGGTGGTATGGAAGGGCACCCTGCTGGCAATATCTTGGTGGTATGGGAGGGCAACCCACTGGCAACGTCAATGGTATGTAAGGGCACTCCACTGGCGGTATCTCGGTGGTATGTAAGGGCACCCTGCTGGCGGTGTCTCAGTGGTATGGAAGGTCACCTCGCTAGTGGTGTCAGTGGTATGTAAGGGCACCCCTCTGGCAGTGTCATGGCAGCATCATGATGCACCTTGGCAGCAGTGACATGGCAGTGTGGCAGCGAACCACGGGTGTCCTGAGGAGGAGGGAGGCAGCGGCAGGGGTGTGCAAAGGGTGCTTGCTGGCATGCCTGAGGCAGCATCTTCCCTCCTCCATTTCCAGGGTGCATCTGTGGCACCAGTAGGAGCCCTGTGAGCTTTTTTGGTTTAACCCATCCTTAGTAGGAAAAGGGTTTCCATGGGAGTAATTGAATCGTTAAAACAAGATTTAATCATTCTTATAGTTCAAAACACATTTGCTTTTGTATGACAGGAATGCTCTAAAACTGTGTGGCGTTCAGGGAGGGTTGGCAGTTTTAATTTTATGAAAAACCAGTTCGGTATTTCTGGTGCAGAGTGAAGAAGGAAGGAAGATGCAGCTATTGTGGGGCTGCCAGGACCTGGAGGTAGCAGATACCTCGGTGGTTTGCCCAGCTTTCACAATATATGCCTGTGGAAGAAATAATCTATTTTTTCAAGTTTGCAAATATCTTTGCAGTCTCACGGTTTTTTTATATGGGCTTAAGAATAAGGATGAGTTTCTAGCTCTCCGTTTTTGTTCTTTCTTAACTTCAGTAAACACGATTTTGGTTTTTCTCTCCTCATTGGAGCGCAGTTTGCGTAGCGTTCGTGGCTATGTGGTGTGTCTAGCCCACATCCCAGGTAGCTCTTGAGCTCAGATGTGTCCGTGCATCGTCTGTGGTGTCCACTGAGCCCTAGGAGTAACATGTGATAGAGAATGGTGGTTAGTTAGCTAACAGCAGGCACACAAAGCACCAATCAGGAGTGGTGGGAGCTTGCCCCTCCTCTGGCCCTGGCCAGGAAACAGAGCTTTTAAAAAGATTTGTTTTTTAAAATGGGAAACCTGGCCCTGGGATCACGAGCTGTGTCTCCAATGGGGCTCACGCACCATCCCAGAAACCTGAAATTCATAAAGGTAGGAGAACACTAGTGGAGAATGTGGGGCCCCCAGGATTCTGTGCCCCCCTTCTTATAG